TGTATGCGCTCATTCTCCTAACAGGGAATTACCTCAACAGTAGACAACATAGAAAAGTATTTAATCTCTCAACGAAATTGTAAAATAACTAAGGTAATCAAAATAACTAAGATGGTAAAAATGACTAAAAAGGCATCTAAAATTGCCTTTTGAAATTCCTTTTCTTCTCCCCATTGGTACTATCCATACATCTGTTGCTTAGACTACTGCCATGGATCAAAACAACATTACGAATCAACATAACTCAGTCTCGGTATGTTGAGCACTTTCACACTGAACATGACAGATAATTACCGAGATGCAATAAATTACAAAATATAGAAATAATTTTTAGACCTCAAACACATAAAATCATAGCTTATATGACCAAATCCACAACTAGAAGATAGGAATGCCTCTTAACAGTAAGCATTATAAGTGGAGAACAGGAAATCTTAAGTTATATAGAGATTATTAATTTAGAATTATAATAATTTAACTTAGTAGCCCCTATACCGATATTTGTTCTACACATGTTAGAAACTAATGGTCATACTACTGACATAAGCACAACTTTGAAACAATAATTAAGACATTTCCCTATGGAGGCAAAAGTCATTACAAGTATGAAACAGTTTTTTCAACTGTTATTGCTCAAGAAATTTCAACCATAATTGTGCATGCTCCAATCAATATATATCAGGCACATAGAGCAAAGCTGACTATCATGCTTGCAATCTTCCCATCCCCCTCCCCTCCATGTACAGAAACCTTATGTCTTGTGAGAATTCTTATTTGCTTAAATATGTACTGTAATTCTTAGCAGCTACTAATCTTATTAGCTTAAAGCTTTGATCTAGAACTAGTAATCAATTACCCCTAACCTTTCTTTGGGTCTTTTTCCACAATTTAAACATATACTATTAAATACTGCAAGAAAAAAGCCAAGTATTTTTGAGTGTCCATTATTAGACAATCAAATTAAACAGATCGCAGCCATGTGCTGTAGTTTTGGACTTCTTTGCCCAAACAGTAGTACTGGCCTCTACAGAATATCAAATGCTCTAATAACAGCATCCATCTCTAAGAAGCTGAAAGAAACATAATTTTTATGACTCCCACCACGCTCATAGGAGAGGAATGAGAGGTGTGATAGTGGATCTTGATAGTGGATCAATCTTACAAATAAAACATAAAATGATCATATCTGAAACAATTAAGATCTATTGCATATTAACAAAAAGTATTTCAAAATGGATTAGCTCAAATTCTGTTTTCTCTCAACTGGAAATTTATCTATATCACTATTACACACACACACACACACACACACACACACACACACACACACACACACACACAGATAGCTGAAACAGCAAATAGAATAGAAATGTAAAGTGATAACCACATACTTTCCCTGGCCTCTCAAAAATGTCTGCCATGTGATTTATTAAAACTGAATATTTAATGTTTTTAGAAGTGTGTTTTCCTCCATGAATAGCCTGCTAAAAATCTGTGGTATGTGCTGATATAAACATTTTGGTTTTAGTTTGAAGGAAAAGGAAAAGGCAAAATTCTTCTTCCATATTTCCCACAAATAGTTATTGCCATCTGGCTTGTTGTCAAATGATTTCTCCTTCTTTACTAAGTTAGGTCTCTTGTGTATTTATACATCAACATATTTGCCTTTCCTTTCCTTCTTCCAAATGATTGACAGTCTGGTGGAATCATCTCTTCTGTTCATGCTTTCTGGTCTTTTTTCAATCTCTATGGCTTCTCCGATGATTCTGTGGCTGGGGTTTTCTATTTTGGAATACTTTTGGAAGCCTGCACTCACAAACAAAAAAATCTCCACACCACAAGCCAGGCAAACACCTGGACACAAACAGATCCCCCCTGATACCTCCAGCTCAAACACACCCCAACCAGGCACCCAGATGAAACCTAGCTTCCTAACTAATGATAGCCGTCCATTCACCCGGAGCCAAGCTGCACTAAAGGCCTCCAATAAAGTAACACAATGTTGCCAGCCAATCAAGATACAAAAAGAGCCAAAAAACAGACAGAAGATATTAGAAACACCAATCAAGCAGAACACAGCAAACTCCAAGACCAATAAACACAGACCAAGACTCTCAACCAATCAGGATGAAGAAAAAACCATTCTGGCACAGCAATAGGCTGCCCCAAATTCAAATCTGAAACCACTGTAAAAGCCTGACTCACAGATGAACACTATACAGAAGCCTGATGATGGCAGATGAGATTCTGCCGAAACGTCGCTACAACTTTAAAAGCACGACTACTATGACGTGGGAAAATACCCGAACAAAGCTGAATGCCATATATATATATATATCAATATATATCTATCTATATCTGTATCTATATCTATATAGATCTTACAAGGGAAAAGACCTGAACACACCAAGACCTGACTATCTATATATCTATCTATATACCTATCTATATACCTATCTATATATGTTTTCTGAGGTTCTTGCGGGTATTTGTATGTGGATCTTTGGTTATTCGGGTTTTCTCCCGCATAAGATTGGATTCCAATCTTACGCGGGAGAAAACCCGAATAACCAAAGATCCCTATCTATCTATCTATCTATCTATCTATCTATCTATCTATCTATCTAT